GACGGCGCCAGAGCGCAGTAGTCAGCCATTCTGGCAAACTTTGAACTATGCTTAATCCGGCGAACCCGAATATGACGGGTGTGCACGACCTGTACGGATTGTGGGACTAGCTAATAAGTTCAGCATTATTCCGAACAGGAAAAGACTAGTGACAACGTATGAACTAGCCTGAGCGTCGATGAATCTGGCTGAAAATTCAGGTTTGTAAAATCCTCAATATAGCATTCTTCTTAATGCTGGGAGAATATGCTACAAAAGCTAGACAGGCGACTGCGTCAACTGGTGAATAAATGCAATACCAAAAGAATTCGCTAAATAGTGCAAAATCGTGCAGTTGAAATTGTTTTCGAAGATCACCATATTCGAAAAATCGAGTAGTCGTGGGTCTGGTCTTGAGAGAATCACAGCTTTACTTTTGACGGAAGATACTGACGCACACAGGGCGGGCCTTCTAATTTGTTCCGGATTTAGCACCTTTTAAAGGACGAAGAATCTTGTCTGAATGCCAATGGTACACACCGTGATACACAAATACCGAAGAAGTATAGGCACAAAATTTTATGCTGTACTTCGCAGCTGTTCGCGCGGGCTACTCTTCATCTAAATATAGTAAGGTAATATGAAAAAATAAACTGCGAGAGACAAAAGAAGTTTTGACCTAGCCCGCGGAGGAAACAGACACTGCAGACAAGGGTTGGAAATTAGATGACGCAAAACAACTCACAGACAAGTGATTGTATATTGACTGTGTCCACCCGTTTAAGTCGACCAGGCGGCATAGGGAAGCAACCTGGCATCGCAGGAGACGCTCTTCACGCGAGTACCTGGCAGCGTCCTCCCCACGGAGGTCATTTATTGGAACAGTGGGTGTGTTGCCTGTCAGCAAAAAATACATGCACAGGTCGAAGTTTAGGCACGCACAGGCAAACATGCACAGGGTCGAGCACCACACGTTAGATGCATTAAAAGGCGTGGTAGAAATGCTGTTAAGGCGCAGTTGTCAGCTACCAGCCAGGCTAACTTACGTGGTAATCCACCACCGATGACTGCCAATGCTTCTGGAAGGGAAATTCGAAAGTGCGATTGGCAAA